AGTTTGATAACTTTTTATATGAGCAATTCGAACAATAAAATTATTTTATAAGCAAATGACCTAAATGAACTTAATAATCCAAATGATCTTGTCACGATTTGATGATTTGGGGTCATTTAAATTTCGATCAGACGACCGGATCATTTACCATTCCTGGGTTGGGTCGGACATATAAATTTTTATTGAGCTTGGGCCCGAGTATACAAATACCTAGCCTACCCCAGCCTATTTCAAAACCTATAAACTAAATGACCCCGGTCATTTCTAAATGACTGTGTAACTTGGTCACGAGTCATTTCCAAATGACCATTTTGAGGTCATTTGAAAAATTTGCAAATGACCAGGTCATTTACCATCACTGGTATTGCCAGAAAAGGTGTTTCTAGCACTTGGTTCTTAGCGGAACAGCCCACCACAACCCCACAAAGAATGGGTTTGATGAATACTTCTTTTTTATTATTATTATTATTATTAATATATTTTATGTCAAAGTAATTAATTCTTTATTATTCAATGCTTTACTATGATTAAACTATAAAATAAATCAAGATTTTTAACGATATTTAAAATTATCATATAAGTTAACTCCTTTCATTCATGATAATTACAGTAAATATATCGATATGCATTAAAACTATATATTGTGCTGCCAATTATATTGTTCTGAATTAGTTGTTATTATCAGCATTGGTGTCGTTGCCTTTTCATTGTGTCATCTTTTATGTTGGTTTTACTGGCAATTGGCGTCATTCATTCACTTTTGTGTCGCCATAACTATTATTCAATTATATATGTAGATTAGCTCTACAACTCGGTAGGTGGAGTTTAATCGGCGGATAAATTATCAAAATAATAATTCTACATCTTATTGGTATTTAAAAAGGTCGTCCCATCGAGCGTGATTCTTAAGATTTTAAATAATAATAATTCGACACTTTCGATGATATTGAATTTTTTTAAAAAAAAATTTATGATGACTATGTAGTTATCAGTACGTAGCGAGTCTAGAACTTCACGTTTAAAAAAGCAATACAATTTGGTCTATTAATTAAGCCAAAGATGTACCTTATTTTTAATATCTTGTAATTAGTGGTGAGTAATTTGAGTAGATGTATATTCATCAGGGTGAGACTCAAATGTCAGTGATATCTTGAATATCGGCGAAATCTTGAACTGTTGAAATCTTAGACGGATCTAAAGCGTTATAAATCATGAGACTTGTGAGATTATTTTTTTTTTATTGGAAACATTGGAAACCCTAATGTCCAGTGGGTGTTACAGATTCTTTCAAAAACACCATATTACGGTTTATGTTTATAGCGCTAATTAAAAAATTTTAATGCTAATTAAAATATTGTATCGCTCTCATAGATCTAAATCCATTCTTGAATACATCGCTTATGCACTTATAACTCTAATGATATATTTGATTTTACATGAGAAAGTATGACCCGATACAAAAAAAAGGGACCGGCTAAGTCGGAAATTAACTTTAGTCGATTTTTTCATTATTGGCCAAGATCACTACGTCTTTGCATCTTACGCTTATACAAATAATCCTTGTAGCAATAAATGCATAAATGATGAGTTAGTCGTCGTTGGCCACAGGAGGGACAATTTACAATGTTTGTTTTGTCTTTCAACCCTTTGTTCGCCGAACGCATTCGTTTCTTTGAATGAGAAGTCTTTTTCTTTGGAGCTGCCAAAAAAGTTGCAACTTTTAAATAAAATTCAATAGGATCAAAGCTTGAACCTATTTTAATTCTCCATTTAT